TGAAAATAACTATTATTGACTGACCGTACACTACAAAATCAAGGCAAAAGATTCAACCTCATGTAGGCCTCCTCATTTAAAAATATGATAAAAAGAGAAGCCTGAATTTTACATGACAGCATTTTCTTTTCTTCCAAAGTAGCAAATCGTACTTCATATCTCCGCAGGGCAAAGCTGGCACTGTGGCTATATTATGGGTTTACTACCCCTTTCAAGACTCTTTAATAGGTGGGACCTCCAAATCCTACCACCCGTTTAGCTTTTTAGTTTAGTAGGGGTTTTTCGGCCCTCACAACTGCATACGGTCATATGAGCGCCAGAAGATTAGAGCAGTTACAAGAGAGTAACAAACATAAAAAAAAGAAGGGGAGATAAGGACGATAGATGTTTGATAGGAAAGAAGAAGCAAACCACACCAGACCACCCGCCAACCACCCTCTCTGATAAATCCGATCTAAGCCGGAGGAGAATCTTGAAACACTTCTCAAACAAATTACTGTAGTTCAAGAATGCTACTTCAGGGACTTGAAAAGGTCATCTGTGTCCAAGTCAAATACGACACCACCACAAAACACTGTGGTGCAAAGACTATATAGCCCCACTTCCGAGTCTCAGAGAAAAGAAAATCGAAAGTTAAGAGCCATTCAGGGCAAGAAAAACAGAAACAACAAACAAAAGAAAAGAGAAGTAAGATCTACCAGTAGTACCCTCAGCCACTCACTCACTTTGTCATCAAACAGTTTGATCACTGAACAGAGTACCGGTACACACATCTGTTTGCACACAGGCTACATAGCAGACTTTCTCATTCTTTTCAGTTCAAGTGTTGGGTGGTTGTTGGGCTCATACCTGAAAGATAATGGGTTCCAACCCCACCAGGGGCCTAACATTATGTCCTTTGGAGGAAAGGCACTTAATATGAATTTGCCTCACTTCATCCAGGTGGAAGTGGATTCCCGGGAAGTTGAAAATGTTTCCGAGTGTTCCAGAGCCAGCTGGGGTAATAGCAGTTGTAAAACCCATACAGCATGCTGTAGAGCATGAATATGAGCTGATGGAAATAAACGCAACCATTAATATTTTTATAGTACAGAAACATACACATGAATAAAAACAAACAAGGTGAGTAGATTTTACTCTAGTTTTACTCGACATTTAATTATTAATTAGTAGCAATAACAAGAGGCACGCACACAGGAAAGAACCAAATCACTCTTGCTGCAAGACAAACTTTTCTTCACAAAACCTAATAACAATAATAATCAAGTGACCATCCACACATCAAAATGACTGTTCAAGAAGGAGATAGCTGAAAGACACGCGTACACCTTGCACAACAATGGGCAACATTTTCAAACTTTTTTTTTCTGATTCAGATTTCGTGCACGGGCAGTAACAGACTGGGGAGGCTGTGGAAATGATAAGCAAAAGTGCAGAGATTTTCATGGATAAGACAATGCTGGTAAGACGAGACCCATTGCTATTGAACTGCTGACAGACCTGAGACTAAAATTTCCATTTGGTTCAAATTTTCGAGTCATTTATACTCATGAAATCTCCTTAACTTTAGAGAATATGAGATGAACAGAACTAACCATCCGAGGCCATAAAACCTGACTCTCCCTGACTGTGGCTGGGGTATATAGATAACATTACGAACGATGTAGTGAAAACAAAACTGATGATACAATGATACACTGAGCTTACACGACACAAATACATGTACACCTAAGACATATGTATGCACAATGACAAAGGATGTTTTTACATTACGATTACGGAAAGGAACTGAAAAATACTAAGGTCAGTGAAAAAAAAAATGGGAACAGAAAGATTGTAGTGATACACAGGTGAGAAGACAAAGAGATGACTGACAAGACAAAAGAGAGGCTACGAAAGAATTTAACCATTGATGGGTGACCCAATACATCCACGTGATTACAATGAAGTACATGAAAATAGCAAGAACAAATGCACAAACTTACAAAGGTACACAAAGATACGACTTAAACTTGACACAAAGTTACAACGTAACTTGACAATGTGAGGTAGGACTCACTTTTTTTCACCTTTGTACCCTGCCCTTGATTTTATTTCTTTTCAAAAGGTCACAAAATAAACTACTCATAGTATTCTAAGCACGTGTAAGATTTCTCTATAGGCTGAGTAATCAATAACCCATAACCAAGGCATAGCACTAAAATGTGGGACAACTCAGACCCTTGGCAGAACCATTCTTTTACCTCGGGGGTTTAATTTAACCACAAACTTATTCATTGCACTATACTAAAACTAAAAGTAGCTAAAACTAAGACCACAGACGAGTTGTGATTAGAGATGGCGTTGGTTGAAGAGAAAAGTCATATTCTCGACTACCTAATCTGTTTTTGTACACATACAGCATTTGTATCGTGTAGACTTAGAAGTTTAAAACCCTCTACCATTAAAAAAAAAAGACTTTGAAGCCTTCAGCGAGTTGGAATAATAACAGCAAAAGTTCACCAGCGCCAAAGGCAACTTTGATTGAAGTGCATTGACACTACACATTGAGAGAGTTCAGTGCTAAGCGTGGTACCACCAACAGCAAGGTACACTACAGGGAATTTCAGACAGGACAGAAAGAAGATGATAATGGTGGCAACAATAGTAATGACACACAATAAACTGCATGGCAACCAAGCAAACACCTAACAAATCGTTTTTTTTTAAAGAACCACTCGCCATCGCACAATTTCAATGCCATGCACATCTAATTCAGGTACAATGAAGTGGGTGGGAGGAATATCCACACATAAAAGGATTCTCTCATGACTCAGAATTCACCAACACAACGACTTTTACACCAACATACGTCATTAAAAATTCAAAACAACAAACAACCTCAAGCCTCAATGGAAACAGAAAAAGCCAAAGGTAATACAAAAAAAAAAATCAGAGGGGATTTCTGGTTCCGTTGAGGCAACTTGGCAACAGTAGCCATACAACAAACTGAACATATTATAAAGACTTCTTCACATATAGTCTCGGTGTACATTGTCTTTTCCATAAACATGTTTATCTAACAAAAGAACAATCATAAAGGTTACAAAATAAAAAGAAACAAAAGAACAATATTACATTATATATATTGATCACAAGCCATAAACATAAAATAACAAATCAAAATTGAATGACAAACTTAACTTTGAAATTAAAACAACAAAAACAAAAACAAAGCACCAGAGTAGCGAAACAAAATGAGCATTCTGGTGCCAGTGCAAAACAAAACAGAAACAGATCAACACTTAGCCTCCTCTGGCAGCTCTACATTACAAACAACTCAATGCAAATAATCTGTTTTACCCAACGAGGGCAAGGATCAAAACAGACACACAGACTTGTTCTTTTCATTCCAATTGTTTCGAAATGAGCACTTTTTTTTTTTGTAACTAGTAAGTTTTGTTTCTCTTTATACAAAAATAAATCTCTGAAGCAGCTGAGGTAAAGCAAAAAACATCAGACATGAATGATTGTGATGTAAAGATGACAGCAAAAGCTCCTCCTCCTCATAAGCCACATGCAGACTACAACTCAAACCATTCAAATACCAGACATACGTACAATAAATGAATGGCTTGGGTGAGTTTACTTCATGACTTTCTTTTTCGTTACTCTCCAAAAACATTACTCGGCACAATATAAGTACTATTCAAAAGCCTCAAAGAAGCCAAACATTTCCCACAGGACAAGAAGAAGCAAAGTGAAAAAAAATCAACATCCATCCTGAGTTAACAAACAGAAACTGCAGTGGAGAGTTCCATTTTCTCCTAGTATAAAATGAATTTTCAGCGAGTGCCATTTTGCAGCTATTTTAACTTATATTAGCTTCAAATGACAAAAGCTACAAATTCAGCTTGTCTCAGTCTCAAACTGTCTCCAACACAAACCAACATTTTATTTAGCTTTCTCTAATATAGTGTTTCAAGAATGTTTTTAAATATGAAGGCTTGAGTTCGAAACATCTATTCACTTTCAATGACTCAAGTAGCCCATATTTTGACTGAGTAAGCTTGAAAAAGAAAATAGGCCGATTTTACTAGATTAAAACAATTGAAGTATCATCCTGAAAACTCAGAACAGTTCAGTTTCACGGGAATTTCATCTTCAAGATCATTACGCACAGTACAGACCAATAGCATTAAAATCCATGTGTGATATAAAAAGGACTCCAGCTTCTAGCATAATATTTGGCAAACTGATCAAAGAAAGGAAACTAGTCATATGTTATATCTTAAAGCAAGACCAGAAGCAGATCTAAATATCGAAAATACTAACAGTACCCTGACCCATAAAATTCCAAAAAAAGTCTACAAAACAGTATCAAAACCAGAAAGAAATGGGATAAAATATGACTGTTGGGGAGTTATATCAAGAATACAAAGTTGAAAAGCAATCGAGAATCTTCTTCACTACAAAATTTTGCAGATACTGGGATGTGAACAAAGGGAAGGAAGACAGCAAAATCCTGAAGAACACAGAATGGCTTCCCAGAAAACACAATGCCCCATAGTTATGCCCATGCAAAGAATGCAAAAATCTCTTGGAACACAAAATCCTGATGTTGATCCCTTCTGACACTTCCTATCAATACACAGACAAGTTCTTTTGAAATTTCACTTATCAATGCCTTTAAAAGATTTTACAGAAGACAAAAATCTCAAAAGAAATCATCACCTTCTGCACTTAAAGATAAATCCAGTAAGAACAAACCTTGAACTACAGCACGGTATAGACCATGCACAGAAAACAGTATTTCAATTCCTCATATGCCCTCTTCACTCTCCCTAGCTTATTGAAAAGAATGCTAAAGACATGTTCAAATGTATACACAAGCAGTCAAGAAGAATCTCACATCATGATTGTCATAGTAACCTGCACATTCAAAATTACAGCCTCACCTCAGATCATTATTCTTTGGAAAAAATCAGAACAAGTAATTTTTTTTTTTAATAACTCAAACACCCCCCCCCCTCAAATATACACAGCATACTCATTCTCATTGCTTGGAAGATGCTTGAGAAATTTTTCTATTCTTGTAGAAGAGGCACAAACACTTAAAACGGAACTGTCTTAAAAGGATAATATAACGATTCCAATTCTATTCTTAAAATGTTGTCCAACTTCAAGTCATAACATTAGCCGCATCAGCTTATGCCAATATATAAAAACGGAAGGCAAATTACTTGATTTTATAGCAAATTTTTCCTGTTGGTAATTATGTGCTTTCATTGAGTAGCTTTTAACCCCCTCCCCCAAGGGGGTACCAACGCTCAGAGGAAGAACATTTTTTCCAGCACTGAGCCCCAAGAAGTTCAACCCCCCCCCCCCCCAAAGCAACCAAAATGCACTCCCTAATACACATATATTCATAAAACGACCATCTATCAACAGACGTCACTGAACACAACAAGGCTAATTATGACCTCAGAAACTGAATCACTTTCGTAAGTCCTTCCACCTGAACCAGTTGAGGAAAGAAACAACAGCAACAACAAACAAAAGAGACACTTTTATCACACAACAAAACGAAGTGACCTTACACGTGAAAGAATGACATCAAGTGATAGGAACAGAGAAAAAAAACAAAAACAATGAGAGGAAAATGGACATGAAGTAGTGCCCTAAGATTGATGGGGGATGGCGTGTGGGTGGGCGGGCGAGTGGGACGAGTCTCATGTGAATGTACTTATTTATATATATATATATGTGTGTGTGTGTGTGTGTGAGCGTGTGTGTGTGTCAATGCTTGTACATATGTGAGTGAAGAACGTCCTCCCCGATGACCGCCATGGCAGCGGCCACACACATGCGTGACGGGAGACGTCCCCAGCCTGGGCTATGAATTGGGCAGCAGCTCAAACTCATCACTAACAGCCACCATGGGAACATGCAGGTCGTCTATGGTGGGTGTATTCTTGTGATCGCACAGATCGCACTCCTTCATCTTCCACTCCCAGTCCAGCTTCTGCACCGCATACAGGGACTCAGCCTCGTGGTGGTGACGCAACACCAAGTCTTGCTGCAGACAAAAGTCAAGCGAGAAAAAAAGAAAGATTAACTATTTAAAAATCACACCAATACAACACCCACACGAAGTTGACACCTGCCCAACGTGTAGCATTCTCATCAATTCACTTATGCATAAAACCGGGCCAGTGCTGGAAATGAATGCTCCAGTGCACCAACAAGATGTCCCTATTATGACCCAGCCAGTCGGTTGAACTATTACTTCATTAGAACAAGTGCCAACAATACTATATCTACTTACTTCTGGAAAAAGTGTTCCATCTTTTCAAACACTGACCTATTACAGTAAGCCTCAACCAATAATAGCACACTGATAGCTCATTTGATATCATGCCAGACTGAGGAGTTTGACTTGAACCTGAAAACAGGCACTCTTGAATTTGGGTTGTTTCATAATTTTGCAAGGCATGCCCTAGTGAAGCTAAGGTACTCTTAAATTATCTTACAGTGTTTAGAAAAACAAAAAGCAACAAAAACCTGTCTGTTGTGCCATTAAGATCACATACTATCTTCCTTCATCACGAATAAAAATTATTCCAGAAATCCAGCTCTTTAAGAAAAATACTACATACTAGTAATGACTGCTGTTATGTGTGATAAAACAAAATGTTAGAAAAGCAGCAAGATTCAAGTTCTATTTGTTAATATCAGCTGCACTATATTTTAAGACACACAAAAAATGCCGATGATATTTGTAACCTGAAGGGTTAACCTTAGAGGCACGCACCGTTTCACCGAAAGTAACCCGCCCCAAATGCCTCGCCGCCATGGCCGATTGCTTGTAAATATGGGAGTTTGGCAGAAGGATATCAGCTGAGATATCAGAGACAAATAGGCTAAAACAGCACCTGGACATGGATTGCTGGTGCCTCTATAAATAAATTATTGATGATGGTCAGAGACGAATACCTGCTACTGAAAAATGAACTTTTTTTGTTTTGTTTTTGTATAGGTTTTACTGCGCTCGCAACTGCATAAGGTCATATGAGCGCCAGAAGATTAGAGGTGTTACAAGAGAGTAACAAACAAGAAGAAGGGGAGATAAAGATGATAAGACGTTTCATAGGAAAGAAGAAACAAACCACACCAGAGCACCCGCCAACCACCCACCAATAATGACCATCAAGGGATCAACAGATGACACAAGGCATATAAAACCATATATTTTCTCAAAGCTGATAGAATGAGCCATTCAAAACTGATAAGTGATCAAACAAATACAAAGCGCCAAACGCGATGAACTCAACAATTAGTACATTAGCACAGCAGAACAAGTGACAACACAAAGCATGTAGTCGTTCAGCTGAACCGTGCCACTTCATCGATCGATATCTGGGCCAAGAGACGAGCTAAAGATAACTTGATTGGTCGCTATCTATAATTTTGACCTAAAATTTACTACATCATTTTACATATATAAGGAATGCTGGAATTTTCCATTGAAAAGGTCAGAGTCTATGTCCTTTACAAAGGGCCCGCGCACTTTCCGGTCGAAGTAGGCTGGCCTTATATATAGGGCTTGTGCGCTTCCCGGGTAGCCTGGCTCCCGCCCTATATATAGGGCTTGCGCGTTTCCAGAGTAAAGATAGAAAAATTCCATCATCACTGAACACATGACACAGCATACATTTCTGTGTTCATTTCCATGTCTCAATAAAAGCTGAGAATTGCCACTGGGTTACAGTGCCACCCCAGGCATGTGACAGAAAACATCCACAGGAGTGTAGGAAGAAAAATGTGCAGGTGAAAATAAAAAGAAATAGTTTCCAATGGCACAGCCTAACATTCTGATAGGGAAGTAGAATGTAGCAAAAGTTACATACCTTGATTTTTGCATACTTGTCATCCACATCTTGTAACCAAGAGAGAAACTGACGGCCATTGTACCGTGATCGTACATTTTTGTCACGGTCCTCCACCTGACAATAAAACTGAGTGTCAAGAACAAGCCAATCAATGAGCACTACAATAACATTTCCAGGTTACCATAACCACACTGAATAACATTAAGACAATGTGGAAAGATAAATCAAATCAAGCAGAACTAGGACTGAGTTTATCACTGTAGACAACGAACGAGGAAACATAATAAGTTAAACAATAACGACCAAGGCAAGCATTAACTCTCTAGACCCTGAGTTATTTCCATCGTTTCCCGGAGTTTTTTCTAAGGTCACCTAAGCCAGGCGCAATATGTCTCACTATAACACCAAAAGCTTGCCTCTAACTTCTAAATGGCAGAAGCAAAGGCTTAGTTATTACTAATAAACTTGGTTCGGGAATAGTTCCGAAAAACAAGCAAAAACCAGCACTAAATGAAATAAATTGTAACTGGTATTGCAGCGTCCGATGGGGAACAGGGTCATTACCGGCGGATGCTGATGGGGTTAAAAAAGTTAGGCTAATGAACAAAGATATAAAAGCTATCGGCAAAAAGAATACCCGAGCATTATCAAAGGCTATATATGACTGAGATAAAAACAAACTAATCATATGACTGTGATAAAAACAAGCTAATCAGATAAACTGACTAAACACCAAGAAAACTCTTTTATATGACTATTAACAACAGACAAATAATGAAGACTGATTTATTCTTAAGACAAATCAAAGAATCAAGAATGCAAAAAAAAAAAGAAAAAAAAAAGACCATTCCATCTTGATGTCATTTACAAAACCCTTGACAGACTCTCAGCATCTGTAAAAAGGGTAGAGTGGGACAACAGATAAATCAAACAAAAAGTTGTTGTACATTTGGACTTTGCAAGTTAGCACCAAAATCTGCACTTTTTGCAAAGAACCGATCAATAACAACAGTAATTCTGAGAAAAAAAGTGAAAAGAGTAGACCAAGCCAGAGGGTCCATCTGTAACCTATGGACTATATTGACAATATTCAGAGAAAGAAACAATATCTAAGACAGCACTCATGGTACTGATGGGTTTTGCAATAACCAAAAGAGATAATCTTATTGTGCAACCTCTTTGCCGCATACCCTCACCTGCTCCAGTTCCTGCTGATTGTAGATCTCCTCCTCTCGCAGAATTGTGCACACGCTGAAAGGCAGCGTCTGATTGGCCATAGCACGAGCAGCCCGTCCATGTTCCCGCAAGATTTCTTGCTCTATCGACAGCATCAGTTTTTCCTGAAACAGAAAAGCAATGACCAAATAAAGCACAGGGAACAAGAACGGCCTGTCCCAGCATTCGTTTTAAAATAAGAATACCGAACAAAAAATGTGGAGCTGAAAATTAAATGCCCTTTCAATAAATCTTTTTGTAATATCGCTATACCACATTAGGAAATATTAAGTCAAACACATGAGATGAGTATGTATGTGTCCGTGTAAGTGTGTATGTGGTGGGGTGCCAGAAAACTGAAAGGAGACTACAAATACAACAATCGGACAACACAAATATTAAACAGCTTGGCAAATCTAGTTGTATGTCTTCCTATCTAAAGGCAATCAAAGGAACAGCATCTAACAGAAGTTTTCAACTGAAAGTATTTCTAGAAAGCTGGGCACTTAGACAACGAAGGGATTGTACAAAGTCACTTATATGACTTCTAAATTCTTTCAATACACATTAGACAGGGTGACTGCCAGACCGGCTTCTCAATTTTCCAGGGGTGTCATCCACTTTCCAGGATCATGTTTCATAACAATGACAGCTTCATTTAAATGTAAACATATGTAATAATTATACATATTTATAAACATACACACATACACAAGTATGTAGCCTACATTATATCCAGTCAACAAAATGTCTGTGGCACAGGAGTCTTGTGCGACTTTTAGGTATTTCAGTCTGGTTTTACTTATCTATACTTCTCCCTCATCATTTTATATATTATACACAAACTATTATAAAAATGACCTTGCTTTGAGACAGAATACCGACTGTCAAGAACGAGTCTCGGTGTCATGATTCATATTACATAAACATGAAAGCCAAAAATTATTGCCCAAACTCAAACAAGAGTAAAAACTTGAATGGCTCAAGTAGTCCAATTCAGTGTGAGAGTTGTAAGAACTGAGAGAGGGCAAGATGCAGCGACACTGAAAATCTGTAAATCTTGAACAGAAAGCTAAATTATCGTTATAATTTACAATCAACAATCCAATGAAACGCAAACACATTAGTTCAATAACAAGGCTTACAAGGTATGACGGATCCCCATTCAATACACGACCTACACCAAAGCGCGCTTCGCAGAGAGCTCTTAATCAAAATTCTAAAATCTGGTGTTGCCTTCTGACCCCCCCCCCCCCACATCGAGAGTATCTTTAAAAAAAAATCAATAACCCCCCCCCCGTCCTATACTTCACAACGCTCACGACTTAAAATGAACTTTGGCGACCCCAACAACTCAACCGCCAGTACTCACATGATTCCGTATCATGGGGCGTGAACGCACGAAAGCTCACTTATCGGTCATGATAACGAGCCCGACAAGCTCAAAAATCGGTAGACGCTTTTCTTTTCTTCACAAGTGACATAACAGTGACAACTATTGATTTATTTTTATGCCGACACAGCGTTTACAGTGCACAACCTTCATGTCACAAATGTTGCGCTATCAGACTATCACCGGCAAAGTTCTGGGCGGTAACGAAAGCAGATCTCAATCTTCCCGATTGAGTCTAGGTGTCACATACACTTCTGTCTGCTGCCACAGCCGCCTGTTCGCGTGAAAGGTACACTCGGACCGGGAAAAGCTGAACGAATATCACAATTGCGACCAGCAGAACTGAATTTACTGACAGTATCAGATTTAGTTTTTGAAATAGTCAAGCATTTTATGTATTACAATGGGTCTTCCCGCCTTTTTCCCTGGGCAACTTACAGATTTCCCCAAAATTCCAGCCTCTCAGCGATTTTTATAAAATCCCCCCCCCCGATGGCAGTCATCCTGATTAGATAATATGACTCCAAGGAGTTTTTCCCGCTCCAAAAGGAGTACTGATGCAACCCCCAACACTCACATACCTAGCACTAGATAACCTGATTAGACAAAGTATTTGTCCTTTCTAAGGTGATGAATTTAGTTTACTGACATAACAACAAACAGAAAAGAAACATTCATATCTCAAAATGAACAGGAGAAATATGCACCTTATCATGGTCAAGTGGCTGACCCTAGGCTGTTTCCGATTCTAAAACCTAAACTTTTCTCGCTGGTAATAAAGAAGCACACTACCAGACACAAAATCAAATATAGCACTGATACAGACCCTTTCAATAACATGTTGCAACCTCAAACGATAGCGTTCTTTTTCCTGCTGAATGAAGAATTCTCGCATTGGCTCTGCAACAAGGTTTGGAGGAGGAAGCTGAAAAAAAAGAAATTTCAGAGAAAATAAAATTTGGTTGGCAGCTGTCTGATTAGTTGCAGAGTAAAAAAAAAAAAGCCAAGCTCAGAGCAGCAAGAATCCAAATTCTGCAAAATCTTAGAGCCTGCGTTCAAGACAACTTCTTGTTTCTTGGAAAACCAGGAACCACCAAAGGATGACTTATTTTGCAAAATCACTGAGCAAAGTGAACATTGGGTGTGTTATAAATGTCAAATATAATTAAAATCATTTAGGTGGTGGTCTCCTTTCACCCTGGCTGTTTGGGAAACATTTTACAAATATAAGGAGGCATTTGAATACAATATACCTTCCTCATGTTGGAACTGAACTCGTATCATTTAATGGGAAAGAGAAGAGTTTAACCATTATGATAAATGTTCAAGAACTGTCTTTCTTCAGTATTCATTAAAAAAAATAAATGCATTTATGTTAATTAAAACATACTTGCTCATTTTTTGTTCAAACAATCAACGTACATACATAGTGTGCATGGACTGATAAGAATAATTATTTTGCATAAAAAGAGCGAGCTCTATATTTGCAACATATTATACAGAGGCAGAGATTGTTTCGCGGCGGATGCAACAGCATAAGGTCATATGAGCGAGTGCGCGGGACACATTAAATATTTTCAGTTGGTAGGAAATTTTGAATTTTGCCAGGGTGGCGGCCGAAGCCTACTCTTATCAATTTTAGACGACTAAGGGAAATTTAATGAGCGAAACTTTCACATGGGACCTCCGAGATTTTGCGCCCTTGTCCGAGAAGGCTAGTTGTAGATCTTTCCTACCAGAGGATCAGGGGTGTGGCTGAAAGATAGCAGTAAGGAGCTAAGAAGTAGCAGCAGAATGGCTGCAGAAAGAGTCAGGAGCCCAGAAAAGGGGCAAAGGAGGTGAGGGGGTGGGGTAGAAGGTGGAGACCAAAGCAGATGATAGAACATTGGTAGAGAGCAGGAAAGGAGACAATTTTCGAGAAGAAAATATTACGTCACTACCTAGATTTGAACCCAGGACCTTTGAAAGAGAGGCGAACACCTGAACCTCTAAGCCATGAGAGCCCCCAAGCAGAGACTTCAAGAAGAAGGTTCTCATACAAAAAGAGCCTTACCATGGGAACAGACAAAGTGCTGGTCACATTGCCCTGGAGAACGTAAGTGCAATTCACCATCAAAAAGTCCTTGAAGCCCACAGGTGGCTTTGGGGCAACATTGCACATTGTACGATGACGAGATGCAATCTGTAGAGAAAGTCAGGTGATTAAAAAAAAAAATTGGACAGGTTTGTTAGTCCAATTTTTGTTTTGAACATTTAAAATGAAATAATAAATAGCATTTGTATACTGCAAATTCCAACTCAACAGTAAGATCCATGTGTTTTAAAATCTACTTTATTTACCCAGCAGACCTGATAGCATTCTGAAATAAGCTCAACTTCCTGGGATGCATACAATGCAGTGCATGCTGCATTTTTACTGGGACTAAAACTAGCAATGCCAATGAAAATTTAAATTTTCACTTTAGCCCTTTTTTATTTGGTACCTAAAAAAGAATTTTCAATTCTAAGAATTATGCTTCTTGAATTTTAAGAATCGGTTCATAAATAAAAAAGTTATGGGGTTGTAAAGGTCGGCAAAATATGGATGACCCACATATAGGAAAATACTCCTAAAAAGTGGACCACGCAGTAGCAGATTCTGTAAGAAAATCGACGATATCTCTGTAACTAATCGGAGTGTTAGAGAGAAACTTGGCTACCCGATGTGTTTTTGGGTGTAGAAATCATTTCTGCAGTCAGATTTACTACCCATTTCGTAGTTATTTTGTTATAATTAAAATTATGGTGTACATATTACGATTTTGCGAAAAAGGGGTGTCGGGATGAGCCCATTTTATTTATAGCATCGTATCACAACATGGGATCTTTAAGAATATATGTCGGCAGCGTGACTAAATAATTGCAAAGCTTTTTATGATGACTTTAGACCATGCCAACCGTAAAAGATAAGTTAATTCAATCTAGCATGCCGTACAATTAAAAATTCTTTTTCCCCGCTGAGACGCGAACACCCCGAGACGAGATAACCTCGCCTCGGAATACCCCCATTGCGATGCTACAGGGGAATAGAGAGAAAAACAACCGGATGCGCGCGCCCGCCATTGCCCTATTTCAAGTGACCAATGAACGGGCCCGGAATAGTGATGCGGGGATTTGTAGGTCACATACATTTGCCGCGAGAGCGAGGGGAAAATGGCCAGTCTCCGTGCGAAGCCGCTTTGGATAGGGGGGTAGTCGTGCATTTATGATCGGGTCTAAACAACTACTTGACACAGAACGTTCAAATTTGAGCACACTATAGAGGATAGATAGATCTATTACCATCTCGGCGTTGAAATTCAAACTCCTTATAGTTTTCAGTGTACACGATACGAAAGTGTTCCCGACACCAAAAGTATAGGTTAATTTATGTGTACAAACTTCAACGTCCACATTTCATTAGTTTGCCCTATTTTCTGATTGGTTGCCGAGTTTCATTCGGATTGGTTCGGAAATAGAGCAGACTGAGGTTGACAAAGTTAGTCACCTACGCTTCGGCCGGGTCCGCAAAATCGCCCGCAAACGGGGACCAAATTTCCGCCGTGCGGGAAAGCCCGATTGGCGTTGCTTAGCAATGACCACGAAAATCCTTTTTTTGCCAGAAAGTGTTTGCAAATAGGTGTATTTTGTAGCTTTATTTTCACAGAGCATGGAACTTTTTGAATTTTTGAAATCAATCAATAAATAAAAAAGTTACGGATTTTTTAATCAATTAATTTCTGGTACACTTTAATGAAAAAACCCCAAAATATCATATGGGACGTTCTTTGGTGAGTCTTGAGACAATATTCATCATAACTCGCTCATTTCTGGGAGTATTTAAAAGAAACTTGGCAAGCCAGTACATTTTCTAGTGCAGAATCTAGTCCTGCTTTCAGATTTTTCATAGCTATCCTACTTTTTGAGTTATGAAGACGTTTATAGGTAAAAATGTGGCCGTTTTCGGTGCGTTTTGAGACAATATTTGTCATAGATCGCCTATTTCTTGGAATATGTAAATGAAACTTGGCAGTCTAGTACATTTTTTAATGCAGAATCGAGTCATGCAGTCATATTTTTAATATCTGTCATACTTTTTGAGTTGTAAAGACATTGACAGGTAAAAAAGTGGCGTTCTTTATAGATTTACAAAGTTTATCTGTCATATGTTCTCCCAAAGTCATGATTTTTGAATGAAACTTGGCAACATAAAAGGAACCTCCTTGCCAAGCAATGCTCTGGATCAATTTGTCACAAAAATGTAAGTAGAGAGCTACTAATAAATCCAGTTCTGTACTATTAATAACATGCATACTTTGTTATAGAAAATAAGATCGTCTCTGTGTATATCCATTGTTGGACAGCGTCCTATTGTGTGGTAGATTAAGATGCGTTCAGATAATATAGTTTACAAGTCATGGGAATATTTCGCATGTGTAGGCTACAACTCATACAATAAATGTAACATATTTACACCCCCCCCCCCTTCTCTCTCTCTCTCACGCGCGTGCACTCACGCACGCACGCGCACTCACACATGAACGATAACAATGTATAAACGGGACTATCTTCCCAGACTGGACTAAATAAGTACCATACTCTTTAATAATAATCTTAATGCCTCACTTTTCCAAACAGAGCACACAGGACGAGTCCAAGTGTGTGCTTTCCCACGAGGGAGGAATACGCTTTCATAACGCAAACACAATGCCATACACCACTTCTCAAGATGTTTGCTTTTCTGTTTCTATTCTTCTGTCATGCAATCAAGCAAATAAAAATGACTACATCTATTGCATTGTGACTAAAATGCAACAAAAACGCAAGTTATCAAGGCCCCCGTTTAGTTTTCAAGTATCCTTCCCCCCCTTTCCGGTTCACATAAGCTGGACCTCGTTTGTAGAGCCCGAGGCGACCGATGGCTGATGACGTCACTCAGTGGAAATTTCCCAGCCGCAGGTCGTTCACCCAGCACACGCAAATGGCAATGTCGCTTTTTTCCTTAGTTACTCCCACATTTTTAAAGATTACGCGAAAACCGCTAAACACAGAAGCTTGAATTTTAAGGGAATAAAGAAAAATGGTGTAAAACGTATCAGTCAGTTTGACAAATCACAGCTCCGAAAAATCTTCAAAGCGCACCACATCAACCACTTTCGCAAACGTTTTCGACTGCTTCTAGGATGGGTACAATGTTGTCAAACTGCATACTACGAGATTGACCTCTTTTCTGATTGGCTGCCAAGTTTCATTCATATCCATTCATGAGAAGCGGCGTGAGAGCGAGTTGAAGACAACAACCTTTGCGTTAGTGCGTCCCACGAAACACCCACGCTGCGGGGGCCAAAAATCGGCAGAACAAAACGCGCTCGGTGGGCATTGCTACATTGCTACTAAAACATTAACATAATTGCAAGACTTTTCACTGTTTAATGTCGGGTACCCATTCACATCTGGGTGAAGTGAGGAAATTCATGTAAAAAAATGGCTTTCAAACAAAGTTTGGAAGGGTGCAAATTTGAGGAGTGGAAAACCCCCCCACGAAAAATGCCAAAACTACCTTAACCCTTAAACCATATACCGCTGATAACCGCTAGTCACTTTAATTCCCAGTGCTAGAAACAGGGGATGTAACTCCAGATGACTCTCGTTGAGAGCAGAAAGTACCGATAATGTCATGAGAGCAGTTCTACACTGAGAGTTAGAAAAGTTTGCGAGTTTTTAAGAAAAATTAGTTCGATGATGATTTTGACAATAGTGGTGGTAGTGGCAGGGGATCACCACTAGAGCTACCAGAGGCTAGATCTACGGCTGGGTCTAATGATGCTTTGACTGAAGTGGTCAAGGGATCATACAAAAGACTTAACTCAAAGAGTTGGTCCTAAAAACCAGAGTTTTAACCTTTCCCCCTTTTTCCCAAACTGCATTCATAAATAACATTTTCAAACTTCAGTAAAATCTAACTACAATTAAAGACACAGTAAATAAAACAATGAACCAACCTAATTTTTTCTAGTATCTCAATTTTAATTCAGGATTGTAGGGATGTATGAAAAAAAAAAAAGAATTCAGGGTTTTAAGGGTTAATAATAATCACAGAATGTAAATTTGGTATCAAATTAAAGAGGAAAGAAAACTGTATTTGGTGGTAATAAGGAGGCTAGCTTCTCTGCTCATTTTGGACAATCTAACCATATCTATAATACACAGTCGTACACAACTTATGGGAAAAACTAAACTATACGAAATAAAGCACAAAAGAATTGATTGAGGAAGGAATTCAAAAGATTCCGCTTCCATACTTTACCTGTCGCCTCATGTTGAGGTAGGTCTCATAGGGATTGGGAGGTTTCTCAAGCGGCTGGTTCATCTTTGCAGCGGCAGCAGTCGCTACTGTGACTTGTAGTGTCTGCTGCTCTGTTTTGTTCCTCAGCTTTCTCTTCCTGGGTGGGAAACTGGAGTCATCCGCTCCACTATCTTCTCCCTTTTGAGATCTGGTAGTGCTTGAATTATCACCTTCCTCTTTTGGATCTGAACCTCCTGTTATTGTACGGTTCATTAAGATTAAAAGATGAAGGTCAGTTAGTTCTTTGATAAAATTTGAAATACAAAAGTTCTGTTTCTTAAAAATAGAAAACTAAAATTAACTCATTTTTCACTCACGTTCAATCAAAGCTTCCAAGTGACAAACATTATAATACTGATTTTTTTAAAAAAGGGAGCGAAAAAGCAATAGTGGACCAGAAATAATAGCCACGAGGGATACAAACAGGATCTGTACTCCTTTTACTAGAGGTTTTACGGCGCTCGCAACTGCATAAGGTTATATGAGCGCCAGAAGTTTAGAGGTGTTACAAGAAAGTAACAAACATAAAAAAGAAGAAGGGGAGATAAGGACGATAGATGTTTGATAGGAAGGAAGAAGCAAACGACACCAGAGCACCCGCCAGCCACCCACTGTTCTCCTGAGTTTCCTAGGGTCGACTATTATGTTTACATCACTGCATGCAGAGGCATGTGTTTTTATCACAGAAAGGTAAAGGAAGTGAATTAATTCCTACCCCCCCAAAACAAAACAAAATCAAACTGTTTACAACAACAACCACCAAGAGCATAGAAGCTGGTCAGCTCACCAGAGCATTTAAATTTAAACAACATATAAGGACAAAGCATAATAAAGTAAGGCTAATAATTTCGTTTTAGGAAGCAAATACCCAGAGAAAGTTTATAGGACAAAGACAATAAAAAGGAAAGTCAGGAGTGTGGCTGGAAAGAGACACCAAAGAAATATATACCAACAGTTAAAAACCCGTGGTTCAGTTGAATTGTTGACTGCCAGTCAGTTTGGCTACATTTCATCGGAAAAGAAAATGACAAGATAAAACTATGAAAAGATGTAAAAGGAGTAGACCAAACCTGAGAGCCTATCATCAGTTACAGTAATAGTAAAAACACTTTATAAAGAGTTCCCTGCTCATGAAAAAAATTTTAAATTCTGACATTCTTTTGAATTTTGTAACCGTATCAAGATGAATTTTTAAAAAAGAAGATATAACAGACAGTGGAAAAAAAGAAAAAAGAAAATGCAAAATAGGAAATAATAATGGGAGCTAGGAATACTAAATCATACCAAAGATAGTACATCATAACAAGATGGGCCACTTCTCTCTTTGAGCCAATTAAAAAAGTGTCCTCAAAATTTGGTGGCGCCCTCTTCACGAACAGAGTTACCCTACTTGAGTTTTAAAAAATCAAAGTGAAACTAACAAGTTTTGGGATAAATTCCGGAAGAACGCTTTTTTAAAATGGTTACGCTGACAAAAAACCTCTTCCGGAAGAAAGGGTGATGATTTTCTTTGCTTAATTTGACTTTAGAATGAAAGGCGAGAGGTCATTAAAATAAAAAACCCATAAAACTCCGCACTGAACGTACCCGAACTGCTGATGAACAGCAGTCGATCTGCGCACGCAAGGAGGTGCTATTCCTATTCTTCTTCTGGAAAAACGAAAGAGAGCTTCAAAACAGACTGCAGCGCCATCTGAAGCAAAGAGCATACTTCCTGCGGACACTTTTTGGCTGAGTGGTCCATCTTGTTATTTACTATCATTGATCATACTGACAGGTCAGCATCGTGACCACAAAAAAGTCTCAGGCATGAAGAAAATTTCCTGTGATAGGTCATTTTCAATCAGGCACCTAGATTGATTTTCCGGCCTTTTCTAGTTTTTTTTCTTTTTCTTTCTTTTCATTCATTTTCAGCGTTTTCTCTACCAGGAAAGCTTTAAATAATATTTCTGGCCTTTTTCAGTTCTCCTGGTTGAGAAGGAACTTTGTTTTTACCAATTGTTCTATTATTTTTTTTTCCAACTTCAGAAACATTAAAAATACAATTCTTCACGTCCATTTGGCTCAAAAATGTGACGATTTCCCAAAGCATCAACGAAACTTTAACCAACGCCACAAAACTCACCATTTTTCTCTGACCCTTTGCCCTGCTGTTGGGCTTGCTGAGCTTGTTGCATCATAGCTGTGTGAGACCTCAATGTCCTGGTCGGTCGCTTCTCTTTCCCCTCCTCCCCAACCTGTCCATCGCTCTGGTCTGCACGGCCGTCGCTCTCCCTTGAGCAAGACTCCTCAGTGTCCAGATTCCGTACCAAGCCACTCGTTGGGTCAAACGGCTTCCCTTCTTTGTCTGTGGTCGGTCCCCCAGCCCCTGATCCCGCCCGTGAAGATGGCCGAGGTTGAGGGGATGACGTGAAACGAGAAGTTAAAGCGTCCAGTTCATGACCTGGGACTGAAGTGCTGGAAATATTCCTCAATGCTTCCTCCCCACCCTCCCAATTGTCTCCACCTTCTCTTGTGGGATTCAGGACGTACGGGAGTGCCGCCTTCGCCTGAGGTTTAGAATCATCAGCCATCTGAGCACCGCCCTTGGTGGGCATAATGATTTTCAACGGAGGAACTTTTGGCGTGGACGGCCTGCTGTCCTGCTCTGAGGGAGCAGGGTTCGAGTCTTCAGGGTCCACTTGTAAAGGAGAATCACAGCTAGAGGTGTCCGACTTATTATTGGAGGAGCTGAGCTCTTCCACACGTGGGATGACGGGGCGTGCGGTGGGGTCCAATCGAGGCAGCTGGTGACTCGATGGGACCGGGTTCGCATCCCCAACTGATGTCAGGGGCTGAGAGGAGCCCACAGGAGTAGCAGCAGAGCCAGGAGTGCTACCTCCTGACGCAGCCACTGCGCGATCACTGAGACCCGTAACAATACTCCCCCCACCTTTGTTTCCTCCCCTCCCAGCGAACATCTGAAATGGGAGGGAGGAGGAGGAGGAAGAGGAAGAGGAGGTTAAATTTCTACTGTCTGGAGCGGGGTGGGCTGTTGGGGGCTGGCTGGGGTGTTGTGATGAACTGGAGGAAGAGTTGGGACCCGAGGTTGTGCTGTTCAAGTGATGGTGAGGGTGTTGATGATAAGGGAGAGGGTTGAGCTGATGATGAGACGGTAAACTTGAGGCTATCACTGATGACGAGGATATCGTGGACGAGGACAAGGTAACAGACGTTGACGATGACGAAACAAATGAAAATTGACATGAGGTGGATCCACTGTTTGTAACATGGTGAGATGAGGAGGAAATTGAAGTTGATGACGGGGCAAATGTAGAGGAAACCCCAGATTTTTCAGACCCGAGGCTTGAGCTTGGAGAAGTGTGTTGCAGATTGAGGGGCTTCTGTCCTTGTCGGACGTGGTGATAGTAACTCACAGTCTGACCCGGAATGTGCTGCTGCTGATGTTGTTGCTGCTGTTGTTGCTGTTGCTGGGAATGAGGATGATTAAAAGGCTGGTATGGATGAGATTTTTGCTGCAATGACGACAACGAAGACGATGAAGATGACAAAGAGGATGGGAGTGACGATGACAACAGTGGCAGCGCTGATGACTGTTGTTTGTTGATATCGTTCGAGGTAACTGAGCTTGAGCAGGAAGTGTTGCTGAAAGTGTTTGAGGTCTTGGTGTTGTGCCCACTCGAGTTGACAGCAGCCGGGAACACCTCCATGTGGTCCTCGTCATTATCTGTGCTCCCAACGCCCTCCATACCCTGAGGGGTAAACGGCTCTGTCGCAATCCTTTCCAGTGAGTGGGAGTGGTTGGGGGGTGGTGGCACTGACGCAGAACCAGAACCACCGGGGGGCACTGTAGAATCGGGGCATCCGTCTGCCTCTGCAACCACAGAGGCACCACCCCCACGGTTTTGCCTCATCCCAGAGCCGGGCTGGACAATTCGGGACCAGCTGTCCTCATTTCTTTGGCGTGAAGGAGCAGAGGCCAACCCTACCGTGGGCTGGCGGTCAAATGAGGAGGAGGATGATCGAGCATTGCCACCTACAATGTCGCCCTCTGAGGTCACCTCACTTCCGGAATCCACAGTGAGGACATTCCACTCAGAAACCCGCTGTTGTTCGTCTGTGGTTGATGAGGACGAAGACGACGATTTCTTTTGTTGAAACTTGAGAAAGAGACGAGGTGAGGGAGAAGGATTGACCTTCTCAGGGGATGGGGGCACAGACTGACGGCGTCCTGCAGTTCCTGCTGATCCAGGTATGGCCACCGACGACGAGATGGAAGAGGATGCCCCAGCTGATCCAGCTAAGTCTGTTTTTCCTGAGTTACTGTGAGACTTGAAGTCTGCAGACATTTAAAACAAAAAATGTACCTTTTATTATACAAATTACTTGTTCAGGGACAGATACATTTCTATATAAGAAAACAAAAAAATTGGACCCTAGTTTTAATAGAAGAACAAATGCTGATCTACGTGTCACTAAAAAGCAACATGGAAAAGCGTAATAATAAAACCATAAATCCACATGTACATTTCAAAGAAACTAACCTGACTTTGTAGCTAACACTATGGAGGGTCTTGTCCCAAAAATGAGTTATAAGGGAACACAATATACAATGTACAGCATTTTATAAAAGCGAAACTGTAGCTCGCTTGACCGTTTGTAGAGGAGTTTCTGTGTCCCAAGCACACATTTTAACACCATGAGAAACTGTATGGACTAGGAAGATAAATATTTTATTGTATATAGAACTTGAACAGGCAGTGACTGGTCAATCAACAGCGTAGGAATAATTGTGTTGTCCCTGGGAATGTTTCATGTCACATGGTGCGAGGACAACTAAATCTACGAAAGAATAAAGATAAACATCTCAAGCATTATTTCTCAAAATCATACACATACCAAAAGAAACAAAACAAAATTTAAGAAATTTAGAGACCACAGACACCCCTGTCTACAGTCCTGCCTGTTCATTGACCTCCTATTACACTGGCAATAGTCTAACTGGAATCTACACCAAAAATGCCATAAGTAAGCCAAGTTTCAAATTGATTGATTGAGAAATAAAGAAGTTACGAAAAAAAAGACATGCAATATTTCCAATTTTACAGTCCGTTTCTCTAAAATATTTTTCTATATAACACTACAAACTGAATCCCGACAATCAAACTTACACAACATTTTTATTTATTGATGGATTTTGATGATTCAAGAGCTGTTCTTATCATTACAATCTCTATAACCCTGTGTTGTTTATTTGCTCCCAAGGCAGTTTAAAAATTTCAGTTTGGCATTGCTATATTTTAATATACCCCCTTTGGGAATGGCCTACAGACAACTTTAGTCAGCAGCACTGCCCTGGTGGGAGAGCCTTACGGTGTCACACTGTTTTATGAAGAGAGTTTAAGTACAGATTCCCGTAAAAATATGAAAGATTAGAAGCATTGTTTACAGATGGAGTTGATAATGATTAGGGAGTAAGAACGGAACTACCAGAAAGTACTAATTTCCGTAAAAATATGGAAGATTGGAAGCACTGTATAATGTGTCTGCTAGGAAGTTTTAAAGAAGAAAATGCTTACCATCATCAATATTTCTTTCCTCTTCCTTGTTAGACAGAATGCTATCCGTGCTAGAAGCTTCACTATGACTATCACTGTCACTGCTATAATTTGCTGAATTCCCTCGTAAAATGGCCTCAATCTCGCTGGTGGCCACATTGATAGAAGTTTTTCCTTGCAGATTTGCCTGTAGAGGATTGGCTCCATGCCGTAGAAGTAGCTGTACCAACTGCAAGAAAATAGGGAATGGAGTGACAAAGCAATTCCACTAACTACAATGTGAAAATTACCAAGGAAAGGGGACAAAGAAAGAAAAAAGGAGAAAACATTTAGAGTTTTTCATTTACAAATTCATTGAACCAATATAAAAAACCAGCAATAAAAATAAAGAAACCCAAACTATAAATCAACGCATACACTGCAAATTCCCTGAAAAATATTAAATAGTAAAAAGTCAAAAACTAACGGAATTCTCAATAGTTACTTACATTTTTTAAATATGTTACAAAGCCCCTTATTTCAGACCTAAATTCTTAAAATGGAGATAATACCTTTCTATGACCACTGCTGGAGGCATCGTGTAAAGGTGTGTCGTCGTCAAAACCTTGAACATTGACATCAGCCCCGGCCTTGAGCAACTGTTTTGCAACACGTAAATTACCAGAGTTGCACGCTTCATGGAGAGCTGTCCAACCTATATGTACAATGAAATAAAATAAAAATCATTTAAGAATAAGACTCATTAATATATAGAGCCATTTCATGATCAAACAACAAGGGTATGTAAGGGAAAGTACTTTACTGTAACCAAGGACTTGTTGTTGTTATCGATCCAGTAACAGCTGGGCTCTCGCCCTTCTGTCCAATGCCATGTAGTGATAAGTGCAGGTCTGCTGCAGTTGCTGTAATGTTCCATAGAGTGTGTTGTCAATGTTAGGTCTCGGAGGGAGAAGGGTAGCTCTGATGTCATTTAGGGCTGTACAGTGGAACAGGTGATGATCCACAGTCTCATATGCATAGTCACAAGGACTTGGTAAACGTTAGAGGTTTAACACCTGTATCAAAACTAGGTTATTTACAGGAATAATTGGAAAGACAAAAACCATACTAAATAAAGTAATATCAAGATTTCTAGAAACTACAAAAGAAGTAAGCAATATTTTTTTTTTCTGTCACTGTTGGACTGCGTGCAAAATTAGTCAAAGCAAGATACGAGCTAAATAGCTCCTGCTGCAGTACACATTGTTGTTCTGTTTCAGGAACCAACATCCCTGCACTCCGGACATGTCCATTGATGCTCCGTTGCTCTCTCCAAAATGTCGCAGAGGTTCTTTCCACTGATTGTGCCAGTGCATATCTGGTTGAACCAGAGAGGGTTTACAGTAATATTACTGTAAACTGTCTGGTTGAACGTTCTTCTGTTCTTTTGCAGTACAGCCACAATACAAAGAAATAAATACCTTGATTTATCAGTCTGTGCGACAATTAGTAAAAACAGGATAAGAATTTCCCAGTACAACTGACATTTGACACCTTCAAGTACTCCCTAATAAAACTAGCAAACAAGAAGCAAGCAGTTCTAATAAATACCTAGCAAGTCAATCCAAAACCTACACATACAACTACTACCATGATTATCTAATTTACCTTGTAGCTTAGCAATGATCACGAAAATCCTTTTTTTGCCAGAAAATGTTTGCAAATAGGTGCATTTTGTAGCTTTATCTTCACTGAGCATAGAACTTTTTGAATTTTTAAAATCCATCAATAAACAAAAAAGTTACGGATTTTTTAATCAATTAATTTCTGGTACACTTTTATATAATGAAAAAACCCCAAAATATGGGACGTTCTTTGGTGAGTTTTGAGACAATATTCGTCATAATTCGCTCATTTCTCTGAGTATTTAAAAGAAACTTGGCAACCCAGTACATTTTCTAGTGCAGAATCTAGTACTGCTTTCAGATTTTTCATAGCTATCCTATTTTTTGAGTTATGAAGACGTTTATAGGTAAAAATGTTGGCCTTTTTCGGTGCGTTTTGAGACAATATTTGTCATAGATCGCCTATTTCTTGGAATATGTAAATGAAACTTGGCAGTCTAGTACATTTTTTAAAGCAGAATTTAGTCATGCAGTCAGATTTTTAATATCTGTCATACTTTTTGAGTTGTAAAGACATTAACAGGTAAAAAAGTGGCATTCTTTACAGATTTACAAAGATTATCAGTCATATGTTCTCCCAAAGTCATGATATTTGAATGAAACTTGGCAACATAAAAGGTTCTTCCTTGCCAAGCAATATTCTGGATCAATTTGTCACAAAAATGTAAGTAGAGAGCTACTAATAAATCCAGTTTTGTACTAGTAAAAGCATGCATACTTTGATATAGAAAATAAGATCGTCTCTGTGTATATCCATTGTTGGACAGTTTCCTATTGTGTGGTAGATTAAGATGCGTTCAGATAATATAGTTTACAAGTCATGGGAATATTTCGCATGTGTAGGCTACAACTCATACAATAAATGTAACATATCTACACCCCCCCCCCCTCTCTCTCTCTTTCTCTCTCTCTCTCACGCCCGCACGCACGCACGCGTGAACGATAACAATGTATAAACGGGACTATCTTCCCAGACTGGACTAAATAAGTACCATACTCTTTAATAACAATCTTAATGCCTCACTTTTCCCAAACAGAGCACACAGGACGAGTCCAAGTGTGTGCTTTCCCTAGAGGGGGGAATAGGCTTTCATAACGCAAACACAATGCCATACCACTTCTCAAGATGTTTGCTTTTCTGTTTCTATTCTTCTGTCATGCAATCAAGCAAATAAAAATGACTACATCTATTGTATTGTGACTAAAATGCAACAAAAACGCAAGTTATCAAGGCCCCCGTTTAGTTTTCAAGTATCCTTCCCCCCCTTTCCATTTCACATAAGCGGGGCCTCGTTTGTAGCGCCCGAGGCGACCGATGGCTGATGACGTCACTCAGTGGAAATTTCCACGCCGCCGGCCGTTCACCCAGCACGCGCAAATGGCAATGTCGCTTTTTTCCTTAGTTACTCCCACATTTTTAAAGATTACGCCAAAACCGCTAAACACAGAAGCATGAAATTTTAAGGGAATAAAGAAAAATGGTGTACAACGTATCAGTCAGTTTGACAAATCACAGCTCCGAAAAACCTTCAAAGCGCACCACATCAACCACTTTCGCAAACGTTTTCGACTGCTTCTAGGATGGGTACAATGTTGTCAAACTGCATACTACGAGATTTACCTCTTTTCTGATTGGCTGCCAAGTTTCATTCATATCCATTCACGAGAAGCGGCGTGAGAGCGAGTTGAAGACAACAACCTTTGCGTTAGTGCGTCCCATGAAACACCCCCGCTGCGGGGGCCAAAAATCAGCAGAACAAAATGCGCTCGGTGGGCATTGCTATGTAGCTGTTTAAAAAGCAGCACAGAAAGAAGTAGGCAGCCTAATTTCAAGGAAATTTTTATAGTATGTTTTATAGATACAATCGACCTTATTCAGTTCAAGAAGAATATGTCTTTCTTTGTCTAATTAGTACCTGTAAAACAGTGATATTATCCTTTCAAGAGGAGAAAGGTTAAGCGTATATTCCCAATACAAATATCTTCCTCAGTCCCAAATCCAACAAAGAAAAAACAAATCTCACCAGCATAATCTTTCATATTGACACTGGCACCAGCTTTGATGAGTCTCTTTGTCTGCTTGTAGTCCCCTTTCTTTGCCGCCATGTGTAGAGGCGCCTCTCCTCTCTCATTCCGCTTGTTCACTTTCTTATCAGCTGGAGTACGCTTTGTAGAGCTCACCTGCACCCCAGAAGATGGAGACTTTGGGGATGTGTCTGAGAAAGAGTAACAAAACTTCATAAACGAAAAGTTTGTACAGGGTGACAAGTAAGTTTGAGATGAAAAAGAAAGAAAACTTTTTAGACTTCTTGATAATGACATACGCATGACTAATAACAGTCGAAACTAAAAATTACAAACTGACACAGTAGTTTGCAATCTCTAATCACTGTTGTGTATAAGTTTTTGAGACAGGATTTGCTTACCTCACTCGATGTCAAACCCAAGGAGTTTCAGTTAAAACGGACGACTGCCATTACCGACACCCATCGCTTCAAGTTTTTTCTACTGTTTACTAATGTGCTTTCAGTCTAATCTTTGAGAGCATATAACTATTGGTCATTATGAGTTGATTGAGTATTGACAACTCAATAAAAATCCGACTTTTTTCCCAGAATGACCCGAAACCCACCAGTTTTGTCACAATGGCTAACAAACAACCTCACAACATTTTTCAACTGATGGACCTATACTATAATAAGTTGATGATGGGTCGGATGTAGGCTTTTCTTGTGCTACAGAAGATGACAACCACACTGGCCTAAGTCACGTAGAGGTTCAGAGTATAGAAGAGGCATGTGGAAGGCTAAAGGGATTAGTGACATTGAATATGGTAGTTTTTAGTTTTAGTAGAGGTTTTACGGTGCTCGCAACAGCGTAGGTCACATGAGCGCCAAAAAATTAGAGCTGTTACAAGAGAGTAACAAACCTAAAAAGAAGACGGGGAGATAAGAACGATAGATGTTTGATAGGAAAGAAGAACCAAACCACAACAGATCATCCGCCAACCACCCACTTGAACATTGTAGAGAAAAAGTATGTGGACAAGAGGAAAAAAACCAAAACAAGAATACTACTGTGCTAACCTCCAACTGTGGACTCTTCCATTCGCATAAGCAGTGCCATCTGCTGCCGTTCTGATAAAGGGACATTGAGTCGAGACACGCTCCCTGCACCACGAGGGGAACCCATCCCCATGTGCTCTGGGGAACCTTCCGGAACATTTGGACGCTTTCTTTTTGGGACTTGTTGCTGCTGGTTCTTTTTCTCTGAAGACAAAAAATAAAATAAGAGTAATGACGCATAATCTGTTTTTTTTTTTTTTATTTTCTGAAATTAACCCCCCCAAAAATTGTCTCAGCTGTCACTTTGAAAAGCCTAAGATGCCAATGTCCAATTGTATGTGCCTTTCAACTACCTTATCTGCAATGGTAAGCTTAACTAAAAAAAGAGAGGACATGAAACAAGAAATCCACTACAGTAAAAACACAAAATCAAAAAGCATAAATATGTGAAAACACTTTTAAAAACTTGAAGACAAATCAAGGCATTAAGAACAGCTTAAGTGTAAGCAGGTAACTTTTGCTTCACGCAAAAAAAATTTAAACGACAGATCCTACAAGTAAAAACACACTTGATATCTTCATTCTCTCACAACCAGCATTAATGCCTATCACTAATAATTTAAAAGGAGCTCAAAAAGCATATTAGATGGCTCCTAGGTACAACCCTATCATCATATCTTAACATTATGCTACTTTTCTTACATACTGTCATTATCATTTTTTTTAAATTTCAAAGTTGGATCTTACATCCCCCCCCCCCACCAACACACACAAACACAATACAAAAAGACTTTAAAAAAATAAGGAAATTGATCATGACTGTTGTTATGCTACAAACCCCCATCATTTTTTGTAATAAATTAAAAAAAGGTGTGATAAATAAACCACAATACAATGCGAGTTGCTGAAACTGGAGGGTAACTGAAAGGAATGTACTGACGTCATGAAAGCAAAATAAGAACCAAGGAGACAATAAAAGACTTTTTGTGAGACATACATTCCATCATTGTGGTACTGTAACAAACAGGTGAAGTTTTTATGTCAGTGAAACATCAGCAGCCCTCTGACAATAGTCACAATTTCTATGGAAGAGTACAGAGAAAAAAGCTACGCTCAACACACCATCTTCCTCCGAAGGTGATGATGGAGTTGCTAATTTTCTCTTGTTTGACTTCCCTTCCCCAGTTGATGGCTTGCTTGATGAACCCTTGTCCTGTGGAAAATTATGTTTAAAGGCGTGTTTACGAATTGCTATATGAACATTTTGTGAAAAAATTAAATACACACATGATGGAAAGTAATGGGTACTATGAACTATGACCCACTTTTGATTATTTGTAAAGATACATGGGTGTAGTATTGACGCTTTGTTCGCAATGAGTCAGCAGGATTTTTGATAAAATAGGAACATTTCGCAAGACAGGTCGGTTTCAAAATTACACTGAAAAGAACAGGGACCAGACAACAGCAGAGCACTATACACCACACACAGTTGTAGAATTGAATTTTGTAAGAAGGTTAAAAAAAAAAAGAAAAAAAGCCCAACCTCAAAACAGGTTACTAAGCAATTTACCACTAGTACTAGGCTCCATCTGAGCAACAGCACGAATTTTGCAAAATATTCTATATTTTTCTTTAAAACTCCAGTGTGACATAAAGTAACAAAAGTCTTAGTTTAAGTAAGAGTTTTACGGCACTTGCAACACAATAAGGTCATATAAGTCATAATAAGTGCCGAAGATTAGATGTGTTACAAGAGAGTAACAAACATGAAAAAGAAGGAGAGGAGATAAGGACGATAGATGTTTGATAGGAAAGAAGAAGCAAACCACACCAGAGCACCCGCCAACCACACGCAAAGCAAAGTCACAAAAGTTAACCTGATGCATGAAGACATGACGATGAAAATGGTGGCAGAGAAGAGGTAAAGAGAAATAAAACAGAAATTCACATAAAAAAACAATTAAAAAATCTTTTTTTTGCCACAATTTGGGACAAAATAGACATTCAGTTGAAAACTTGAAAACTTGATGTGTCTCCTGGCTTGATGGTACTAAACATACTGCACATCAAGCCTACCTATCACAATCATAAAGAAAAAAACCCCTGCACAGATAATGCAATGAATTATTTCAAAGACCCTACCGACCAATCCTGTTATAAAATAATGTCAATCACAATGATGGAAAAAATTTTTTTTTCATAAATTGTTAATCCCTCTAGTAAGAGAAGTAATCAAGAAGGTATCAAATTAGACAAAAAGTAAAAGAGTTCTGAAGGTAATGACCAGTTTATTTGTTGAGTAGTTTATAAATGAGAAGAAAAGCAGCTCCAAATTTGTTCCTTGTGAACATGGCCTTTCAAATGACAAAATTTATTTGTAAATTCGGTAAGTGTGGAGCTTACTGGGTCATTCATCATCAACAATGCCTTTCTCACCCTGGATCAGGATATGTACGGAAAATAAAATCACTCTTCACTTTTCCCTTTCATTCGCAAGCGTCTTTACATTATTCTATGTCTTTCCTCTTTTCTGTACTTGGTTCATTTGAGAGGTAAAAGAACCCTTTAAGTTGACAGGCTCTATTCTTGTATACTAATACGCCTTTTCTCCTTTTAGTTTTTAGTTTAGTAGAGGTTTTACGGCGCTCACAACTGCATATAAGGTCATATGAGTGCCAACTTTTCTCCTTTTAAAATGAGGCATTAAATGATGGAATAAAAAGCGCATCCTTTTGAGCTATAATGCTACAGATTGTTAAAAAGGCCGGAAAGGCAAAACAGAAGAAGACAATTTGAAAAATGAAAATGAACCATTAACAGTTGAGAAGAGCAAGCTAACTTTCAATGTTTTACCCCCCCCCCGTAATACCCATGAAGGCAAAGGAGGTGACTAGAAGTAAAGAACGAATGCATCACAAAATATCACATTATTACAGCAATCTCTGACATTGTATGTCATATAGGCACTGTACACTCTCTTTTCTGACTATGTCATTTTTTTTCTCGGCTCTTTCACTAAAGAGAAGATTTATCTATCTTTTACTATCTATTACTATCAATGTGTATGTTTATCAGACGACAATGATATGATATATAAGTCTGTATTTTCACTATCAATGTGTATGTTTATCAGTTTATCAGACGACAATGATATGATATATAAGTCTGTATTTTCAACTAAACACAACCTGGTCCCCCCCCCAGAAATAAAAAACAACCGAAAAAAAAGAGACCTATAGACCTAATAATCTTTTAAAATTGATAAAAATATAAAGTATTTTTCTAAGTTCAGGAACACATCGTCTTAATATCTAAGCTACAAAATATGACGAGTTCCATTTTTTCATATCTGTGCTGTGGTCAGGAAGGTCAATGACATTGCACCCTTAAGCAGGCTTCTTTTTCAACTTAAGCTCGAGATTCGGGACAAAAAATAAGGATACCCGGTTTAATCGTGATGAGTCGCAGGTTTAAATACTTTCACCTTAAACCAATGAACCCAAGACCCCGATATATTGGGGAGCAGCAGAAAAGTCCACGACCTGAGACCCCGATACTTCAGTTTCCTCCCACCTACCCAGAAGTAGACAAACAGATTGGAACACCGAGAAGCAGTTTTGGAGATAGGAGGGTGGGAACAATTTTATTACTGTACTTTATGTGAGTTTTTGCATGAGTAGCCTACTAACATAATACTATAATAGCATGCCTGTTTTTCTTGAATTCTGTTTGGGAGCCTGGTGTGTGTGTGTGTGCGTGTGTGTGTGCGTGTTAGGCCTGGGAGCCAGGGGTTCATTGGGTTAAAGTTAGAGTATGATTACAATGTAGTAATTTACGTGAATGGGATCAAATGAAAATTACAAAACTTAGCTTCCCCAAAGCCTTGTGTAGTGTACAGTACATTGATAATATGAAAATAAACTAACCTTGTGAGGGGGCGACTTCTTTTCCGACATCCCTCAACTTTAAACAGCCTTGAATCAACAACAAAAGGAGAATGGAACACAACAACAAACACTGAGAAATATGTGATCCGTTGGAAACCATCAAGTTCCTAGCACATTCCAATACATTTTCTCAGCAAAACTCATCCAGTCGCATGCCATGGTGAACTGCAAACTGAAAACAAACAAAAAAAAGTCCATATAGTATAATATATTATTATAATTACATTTTCTTATTGACATTTTAACCAAATTTAGGCCATAAAAAGCTATGGAACAAGTACTGATTGATGCAATGTCAGAGCCTCCATGATCCAACTTACTGTGCCCATGAACAAAAGTACTATAATTTATTAACCATTCACTACTATGCCTCATCCCGAAAAGGTGGGGTCTATATAATACAAGCAACCCCCAACAGCCCATTTACAGTCCGATAGAGAACCAGAGATGCCAACCACAGAAAACCTAAATGAGTATTGGGAAATATGAAAATGTGCATTTTCAGGGGAAAATGTGTATTCCCCATGACCAACCGGCCAACCAGAAATAGTAAAATGTTCAGGGTGTCCAGCAATATTTCCTGAAAAAAAATTACTAGTTCACCAGCTCGAAAAAGGGAGCACACACGCGTACAATATACATGTATCCAGTCAACAACATGTCAGTGTTCAAGGTCGTGCTGGGGCCTTGTTTGATTTAAGTATTTCAGTCTATTATATAATGTTTTCTTCTCATTATTACATAAAAAATAAATTCTGCTTTGAGAGTTCGGAAGGGCTTGGAACAAGAATTTCAACTATCAAGAGCCAGTCTGGGTGTCATGGTTCATATTATGAACTGACAGACTCAAATTATTGCTCAAACTCACAGAGAAAAGCAATAACTTGAATGGCTCAAGTAGACCCATGCACCGTGAGAGTACAAGTAACAACTGTGGTAGGGCAAGATGCAGTGACACTGAAAATCTGCCAGTCTTGAACAGAAAGCTACAACATACACTGTAGGTATAATTTACTAACTATCACCCATCTAAGTAGGTATAATTTACCATCACCCATCCAATGAAACGTGAACACTTTATTTCAATAACGCAGACTTGATAAGTATGAGGGGTCCCGATTCCGTACACGGCCTGCACAAACACGTGCTTTGCAGAAAGCTCTAATCAAAATTCTGAAATGTGCTTCCAAGTATTTGTCCTCCGGCGGTGTAGCCGTAACCCCCCCCCCCCCCCCCCGGATAGCATCTTAAACCAAAAAAAAAATCTCCTCCCCTATTCCGTAGTCATATACTTTGCAACGCCATTACTCCCACCAAAGACGACCTTTACTCACACTATGCCGCATTTATTTATGAAGTGAATGCGCGCAGGTTCAGTGACCGGTCACGATCGCGAGCCAGACAATCTAAAAATCGGACGACGCTTGTATTTTCTTTTCTTTTTTTTTCCCACAAGTAACAGCACAGCGACGAGTCCAAGTATTCATTACATTTTATTTGCACGGCGACATTGTGTTTATACTGCACAACCTGCATGCCACAAATGTTGCGTTATCAAACAACTGCTGGCAAACTTCTTGGTGGTAACGAAAGCGAAAGTAGAAATTGATTTTCCCGATCGAGCCTCGGTGTCACATACGCTTCCGCCTGCCGTCATAGCTGCCTATTCTATGAAAGTGAAACGTTCTCTCCGGACGGGGAAATGCTAAACGAATATAATATCACGATCACAACCGGCAAAAGTTGAACTTACTGACCACATCAGACTTGGTTTTCAAATATTCCAGGTCTGTGATTGTGATACTGTCAATACTATTTTGACAAAGGTCAAAGGATGGGACTTGAGATAATTAGGTTTACTCGCCCAAGCTGAATCTCATATTTTTCGCATTCCAGGATGCGTATTTTTTCATGAAAAGTCGTATTTGCGTATTTTCGGCAAAAAATCGTACTAAAATACGTAAAATTGTACTGGTTGGCATCTTTGGAGAACTAAAAGCTGTGTGCGTATCAAATTATAATAAGTCAATAAGAACAGAAAAATCCAGCTATGGCAAGACCTGACATACTGGTTCAGGGATGCACTTTCCCCTCTTTGATAAAATGCAATTGCACGGAAAATCATGAAACACATAGGCAAGGCTCAATCTGTAACAAACAACTATGAATATCATGTTTCTCACTGGTCTGGTTAAGTGATTAATAGCTGCCATGGAACCAGTCAAAATCTTTACTTCTAAAAATTAATCTCTTTACAGTTTTCCCAAGTAAATTAATTACTCATTATAGATATAGGTGCACTCTGTACAAAATACAAATTATTTTCATTGTCTAAAGGAACTTTTATCTGGTTGACTGACAAAGAAATCTGTAAATCAACCAAGGTGAACTCTGTATTATTATGCATTAACTAAGTGTACTTTCACCAATTTGTAGTTGTACAGAGCCTATACCTATTTCATGTTTAATCATCAGCTGGCCATTAGCAAAAACTACATAAGATGCACCGAGCACTGATCAGGTGTCCACCGCAGACCTGTTTGCTTACTGGCATCATGGGTAAAGGTCTATTACTATTGGCCTTTAGGCCATGTGTTATCAAGCTGAAAACCTCAGAAAGCAGATACAGCTGGCCAGTACCAAACGTCAAAAGAAAAATGAGGTTATGGCGAAGCTATGGCTATGTCAAGCCAAGAGGGCATGCTTTGACTTTTCACGTATTCCCAAACTCAGTGCTTAAAACAGCTGAAGCTGAAAAGTAAGGGAAATTATGCCGGAGGTGTGGGAGCTGCAAAGGCCCCCAGCAGGGTCCAGGGACAGCATTCTGGTGGAGGTTCAAGGGACGAAGCCCCTGAAGAAATTGAAATTTAGTGCAGTTACAGGGTTAAAAATGGCATTTGGGAGCCTGTTTGAAGAGAATAACCGGTTCTCACACGATGCTGTAGCATGTGATGCCAACGCATGCAGGTTCACTGACCGATCACGATGACAAGCCCGACAAGCTGAAAATCGGACGACGCTTGTATTTTCTTTTCTTACAGTGACAATGACAAATATTGATTTATTTGCGTGGCGACACAGTGTTTTTTATAATGAATGACCTGCATGTCACAAGTGCTGCGCATCAGACAATCACTGGCTAATATCTGGGTGGTAACGAAAGCAGATCTTGATTTTCTCGATTTAACCTCAGTGTCACATACATTTCCACCTGCTGCCATAGTCGCCTGTTTGAGTGAAACCTACTCTCGGACCGGAAAAAAACAACCGAATATATCACAATCGCGACCTGCAAAAATGAATTTACTGACCTATCTGATTTGGTTTTCATCAAGGACTATATTACATATTTTCCTGGGTCTTTCCCGGGGCAGTTCACATTTTCCTCATAAGCCTGGGTCTGCCAGGTTCCTAAAACATTTAACTTATTGCGACAGAATTACTGTTAATATTATCAATAGCTATAAAAGACGATACGATGACAAGTACGCATCTTTTGCCTCGGAATCTCAGTGGCCCTACGCAATCCCTTTTTTAAAATGGATGAAGTCGATATTGATGTGGGAGCAAGTGTGGAACTGTCAGAAAGTACGAATTTTCATAAAAATACGAAAGATAAGAAGCACTGAAAACTTTTGTTTCGAACAAAGCAGCCAAACTTTTAAAATCAAAATTAATATTATTTTTAAAATTCCACACTAGAATTATTTATGTAAATCTGATGCCTATAGTCTTGAAAATCTAGGTCTATACCATATAATTTATCAAAGGCTAAAAGGCCGCTATGGTTTTATTAACCTCTTAGTATGTTATTATAAGAATGAAAAAAATGGTCAGTGAGGAGTGAGGAGTACAAAAAGCCTTGACAAAAAAGAAGCTAGATTTTTCTTTCTAAAGAAGGGCCTGTCAAAACGATCCGTATTAAAAACACATGAAGCTGCAGAGAGAGCCCCGAGCACACCTCTGTGATTGGCCGAAATATAGATGACGTAATTTTACCATCTATTTTAGTTGTCTCCCTCGCCAGTTGACTAGAAAACTAAGGGCTTGATTGAAGACAGTATTTTTTTCCCAAATTAACTTGGATCAGAATGGAGGGGACAATCATACATTTATAAAAGTATGAATATAAATTGGAAAGGGTGTTTATCTAATATAATTATCTTTGCCGTGTGCGTGTGTGAGTTTAGTGAATGTGTGTGTGTGTGTGTTTATGCAGGTACGTATCTACCAGTGTGCCCGCGGGTGCATGTGTGAACCTTCCTGTTCCTTTGTTCATGTGTTTGCCTGTGTATGTGGATGTATGTTCGTCTATTGAGCCATTGCCAAAACATGGGGGAAAAAACCACACACACATCTCACATTAGTGGGCATAAAATGTGAAGCATTATTAGTAGGAAAAGGCTAGCGTACTTATTCTACATATGATGGCTAGACTGACCATTAAAAAAAAATAGGCCTACTGAATTGTAAATATAAATTTTTAGTGTGCAGTACCTAAAGTATTTGTATTTGAGACGAAACCAGGTGCCTTATTGACAGTGCATGTATTTTAAACCTCCTGTTTTCTAATGTTAATAAGGCCTAAGATAAGTACGGCTAGACTTCTTGTCTAGCCGTACATAAGTACGGGTAGACAGCCAGGCTAGCCGTACTTAAGGACGGCTAGACTGACAGTCTAGCAGTACTTAATATTGATGGCTGAATTGTAAATGAAATTTTTAGTTTGCAATGCCTAAAGTATTTGCATTTCAGACAAAACCAAAAGGTGCCTTACTGACTTGCATGTATTTGAACCTGAATAATAACTAGATCTAGATAGATCTAATGAGACCTGTGTACTTAACAGGGTTGAGTCGATAGGGCCAAACCTAGATCTAAGTACGGCTAGACTGGCAGTCTAGCCGTACTTTTATTAAGGAAAGTGGCTATTCTCACCCGCCCGGAAGTTCTCGCAAGATCAACTCCTCCCCTCTTCTCTCTCTCTCTGTTTATTTCTGAATACTGTCTATCGGTGTGGACGATCAAATTGACCAAAACAAAGTTAAAAAATGATGTTAAAACACAAAAGTAAATTAATTTGGTTGTCTACAAAGATGCTACGGCTATTTAACTTTTCGAATCGAGCCGAACTACGCGGGTCGCCATTTTGTTTTGCCCGGAAATTCTCGCGCTACTCCTCTCTCTTTTTCTCTCTCTCTCTCCACTGTCCACAGACAAAATTGTACGCTTTTAGTAGGCTACAGTTGTAATAAAACGTTTGTTCACGGCACAGAATTCTACAATTTTTCTGTTATCACAGTGTAGAATTCTGTGGTTTAGGGTGAACGCAAAATTTGGTGAACGCGCACCGGGTGAGAATAGCCACAAGACTCGCCTGCACTATTCTCACTCCGGGTGAGAATAGAGGTGGCCTTCTAAAAAAGGCCGGCACTATTTCTCCGAACGTTCGGGAAAATAAAGCTGGGCACTATTTCTCCGAACGTTCGGGAAAATAAAGCTAGGCACTATTTCTCCGAACGTTCGGGAAAATAAAGCTGGGCATTATTTCTCCGAACACTCTGAAATCTCATCCTTTCCCGCAAATTTCGGATATTATAAAGATCTATAATTATAGTATAGATCTAGATCTAGATCTAGGCCTACCAAAGATTGTTCGTTTACAATGTGGTTCAATCGGTCCAAAAAATGTGCGCAGTAAATATTTATATAGAAATGCTACAACTGTAACTCCAAACAGTTTTTCGCTACAGATATGACGTGTTGCCTATGAAGGGTGCTGCTCTTAAACGTAATGTGTTGTGTTCACTCGTGTGCTGTCTAGATCTAGATCTAGATCTACGGAGGGTTTATTGATAACGACACGACATAGAACTGGCATCTGCGTTAGTCACTGCTGCGACCAATGTACTGACACTGGCAAGCCCCTTAATGTGTGTTATTCCATAATTTACATGTAATATCCGGTACTTAAAAAAAAAAAAAATTACGCACATTTAGGGTTAAAACAGCCAATTTTCTTCGGACAGGTGGACACACGCCCTTATTTGTTAAAATGTTTGGTGGTTGGTTGGTGGGGCTGTTCTAAATTTGAATTTCTTTCTGGTGGGGAAACCTTTTCTTTTTTCACGTTTTTCCCCTCATCTAAAAATCCCCTAGACTAGCCTCTTGAAAAATTAAAATAGTCTATATAGGCCCCAAAAATTTGCTCCCCCTGTGAGTGTGTGTGTGTGTGTGTGTGTGTGTGTGTGTGTGTGTGTGTGTGTGTGTGTGTGTGTGTGTGTGTGTGTGTGTGTATGAGTGTGTCCCTGTGTGTGGTTTTAAGTGGAGAGTGAGGAGTGTGTGTGTGTGTGTGTTTGTTTTTCGGGCTTTATTTCAGCCTATATTCAGTAACAGTTCAAAGTATACAAAAATAGAAACACAGGATCCATTCACTCCATATGGCTCATGAATGAGTCGTTTGTCTCTTTCAGTTTCACTCATTCATTTAATTCCCCTGTTCTCTCCCGCGGCTCATCCCGTTGGCATGACTTTCATACCCCACCCCCTCCCTCCAGGCACACACAAAGAAAATCTCACTCATTCCCTTGCACCCTGCAAACCATGGACAATAATATAGGCAAAACACTGCCTGAGCTGCATTCCTTTCGTTCGTGAACTGTGGACCAGGCCAGGGGGGTCGGTGTCGTCGTCTTGTAGTTGCTGTCGCCTGTGGATACACTCGCACATTCTTCCTTTCACCCGCTCTTTCACTCACACTGTCTCTCCATCCACAGCTCAGCTCGTCATACGTTCAAAAGTTGCCCACTGGTCATGTTTAGTTACTGTGTGTACATGTGCATGATGGTGGTGGGTGTGTGGTGGGTGTTACTGAAGGTTGTATGTAGGCGGGCTTGTCATGCGGTGTCCTTCCCAGACCAGAGGCAGAATGACAGTTGGCGCCGAACTCTCGCAATAAATAGGCCAAAAATCACGAGACCGGAAGCCGGAAACCGTTTGGAGAAATAAAGATCGGCACTATTTCTCCGAACATTCGGAGAAATAGTCACTTCGTTTAAAAAAATAGGCGTACTGAATTGTAAAAATTTTTGGGAGTGTATACAGACCCGGTAACCGGGAACAAAGTCACAAAGTATACAGACCCGGTAGGGGAACTCTTTTT